CATAACCTCATCAACTGATTTACCGTCATTTCCTAATACCCTGCGTTTAACCTCACTATTACTTACCCGGTGATCCCAGCAGACGCCAGTAATATTTCTGAGGCATCTGTGGTCAAATACTAGTAGGTTACGAGTATCTTCTACTCTTAATGGCCATGTTTCGCTGCTGTAAATTAAAACGGAACGGACTGCCGCACAGTATACTCATTCTTTTATTGATAGACGGATATAAGACATTTTTTGGGTATTAGTATTCTTTGCTGACTATAATAGATCCTTAAAATGTTGCTTTTCAGAGCGTCTTAAGTTTCAATTAAATGTGAAGGAATAATAAACAAATATAATCATTATAAACTTACCATATGCCCAAACATCTGATTTACTTGAAAATATTCTATCTTGTATACATTCAATTGCAAGCCATTTAATTGGCATACGTCCTCCACTAGCATGATATTCACTATGTATTGTATCTAAACATTTAGCTAAACCAAAATCAGTTATTTGTACCTATGAAAATAAACAAATGTAATATAGATGTTATTATGAATATATTTCATCTTCTTACGACTCTTTTCATCGAATGTTTAGTATACTGGTTAGCATCTAACGAATTCTACATCAATTATAGGATAACTTAAAGTTGAACTAATTGACCACTATAAAAATCCAATCGTTATTGAAGACTAAACACAGATATTGAAATCACAAGTTGATTTAAGCTTAATCACTATTGAAAACCTGGAAGCCCTAGATGGCTATTTCGTCCTAGTATAGGACTCCTCAGCAGAGCATGTCCATTCAAGATCATTGAGTGATTAAAGTGGCTTAGCGGTCTCGAAGTTAAGCGTTGGTACGTAAGACCGAAGGTCCTGGGTCCGAGTTTCATATGCAGGATCGCAAACAAAACAGTCATCTAGTGCTTCCAGGTTTTCAATGGTGGCCTAAAAACAACCAATTGATGATTTCAACTATTAAATTACTTTAAATAACACTAAATAGTTTTTCATTGAATGTTTTGTAGGTCGTTCTATTCAATGGTTATTTTTTGCTTTAACTTATCCTGAATCTTGAGTTCAACATTATCAATTCACATAATATTGTAGCGCACAAGAACACGAGTAGGGCAATCGAGTTTGGGCATAAAATTACCGAATATCTCACTAAAATCTGAGAGCTATATCGTAAATACACTTGGTATTTTTTTGGCTTGTATTTTCCCATCGAGATTTAAGACTGCAATTGATCAGTCTGTTATTGGCATATGTGCATACTATGCGTATGCCTCGATATTGCCTTAATTCACAAGCTTTTTGTAAGCAATGATGGATAGTGACTAGTAGTGGAATCCAGGACGCGCGTTTCATTTTATTTAGGACTCGTCAGGACGAAACGCTCGTCCTGGATTCCACTGTTAGCCACTATCCATTATATCGTAAATAGTTAATTTGCAACATATCAATCCATCGTCTCAAACTTGACTATTCCTTCAGCAAATATCAGTCCATTGTCTCAGATTTCATTGTTCATGCATTTTCATACGAATTGTTTTCTATTCCCATTTTTTCCCTTATCGATCTCCTACTAAAATACATTCTATGACTAACCATCATTACATACTACTTATATGAATATAAGTAGTTCATATTATAATATCTCAATTCATCATAGACATTTCTCACTTACTTGATCTTTGGATTGAACAAGTACATTACGTGCAGCTAAATCACGATGTATAATACCACGTGATGATAAATATGTCATACCGGAAGCAATTTGTTCAGACCACTGAAATAATGAATTGACTTCAATAAAATCCCAACGTATTTTAACAAATTCTAATAAACTACCTAATGGTAAATATTGTGTAATTAATTGTAATTTAGATGTAAGACATAAAGCTAAAAATCGTACACAACATGGATGATCAACAGTTGCCATAACCTAAAGAAAAAGAAACAAAATAAAGAATGTTTTTATCTTATTTAACATTGATTTTCAATAATAGTTACCTATGTGTTATTTGTTTAGTTGTTTACTTAGCTATGTCTGTAACCCATCGTGGAGGAGTACAAAGAGGCACCAAATACATAGGGGCTACACAAATCTCATTCGATATGTATGAGGGCTGTGATACTGACCGGGTACCCAAACCGAAACAGGTAGTTCTTTTAGGGGACCACACTCGGAGCCTTCGACCTGAAGGTCTGATCCACAACACAGTGGAGCATCGTAAGGAGATGGAGTCCCATGGTAGCCGGTGATCAACAATTGGTTCATACGCCATTTGTTCCCGCAGGATACTGGAGCCGATGTGCACCATTGGTTTGGGGTCCGGTTAAAGCGCCGGACGTTCGCTTTTCGTTCTCTCAATTTCGTAAACAACACCCCCCGCCACGAGAAGGCAGTGAGTAGGACTTCCCTGACAGAGGCTATATACGCGCGGCCATGTGAGAGCATTTGGAGAGGGAATATATATATATATATATATATATATATATATATATATTCAACTCTGTCCTGGACAATCTTTCCTAGTTGTTTTCAATCATTGTTCATTCTTTTGATATCTGCTTCTAATTCCTTCCATAATGTTGTAGTGACCTACGTTTATCAAGAGAACGCGATTGTTGTAATGGAAAAATTGTTATTATGACCAATTGTAAAAGTGATTGTTTTATTGTACTTGTTTGTTTAACTGTATCAAAATACATACATTCTTCCTTTGATTGTGACCTTGCACGAATTCGGTCACGCTCAGTAACCACACTTGTACTCCTTTGGCACGATCTCGGTATTCTTCCGATACCACGAGATCGCCAACAAATACATCTCGACTACAGCCATCAACTGCCTTCTGATATTTGGCTTACGGGAGATCTTATCGATTAACTGGAACGTAGTCTTCCTGTAGTGGTGATCATAGTCAACCACGACTCGACGCCACATCACAGTGTGTTCCTTGGCCTTCCTCTTTTCCGCTTCCCTTCAGGATTCCAAGTTAGCGCTTGCCTCGTGATGCAGTTTGATGATTTCTGTTATGTATGTCCTATCCATTTCCATCGTCTCTTCCTAATTTCCTCTTCAGTTGGAAGCTGGTTTGTTCTCTCCCACAGTAGGCTGCTGCTGATGGTATCCGGTCAACGGATATTGAGTATCATGTGTAGACAATTGTTCATAATTACATGTACATTTTTGATAATAGTTATATGAGTTCTCCAAGTTTAAATTGAATATTTCGACTTTAATATTGGTTGACAGTTATTTTGAGTTCCATATGTTCTTCAACCGTAAGTATGCTTACCTTGCTTTATCAACCCTTGCCTTAACATGTTCATCAGATCCTCCTTGCTTATCGATGATGTTGACCAGATACGTCAAACTTTCCACCTATTTCAGTTAAAATAGATCAATTACGTGATATTCATGAAGCCTTTTTAATGTCTTCATCTGATTTCATAATAACCAACTTACTAAAAAGAAATCGGATTCGAAATACCATGAAACGAATAGGGACATTCATAGCTTAAGTTATAAATATCTATCATTGAGGAGTAAAAGACTTGAAATGGAAGTGGATAGAACACACATTAAGGAAAGCACACAACTCCGTTACAAGACATGCCTTCACTTGAAATCCTCAAGGCCACGAAAGAAGAGGAAAACCAAAGAACACATGGCGCCAAGAAATGGAGACAGACATGAGAAGAATGAAGAACAATTGGATAGAACTAGAAAGGAAGGTCCAGGACAGAGTGGGTTAGAGAATGCTGGTTGGTGTCCTATGCTCCATTGGGAACAACAGGCGTAAGTAAGCAAGTCAGCAAAAGACTATAAAACAAAGATATAACAATTGGAAAAGATCAAAGCAACTCAGAGTGCATACATATATCTAAATTAGTAGACATTATCCATAAAAGTTTGGTGTTATATCTAGAGCTTAGATTCTTGATATACCGAGTACAACTTGAGCACTCAAACGATAGAAGCCTTCAAATCGCTAATGAGAAGACAGAAGGCGAGTGAAAGGGATGTTATTCCAAACAGTGTCAAATATAGTATAAGACTCTAAGGTATTCATAGTTATTAGTAAGAATGAAATCATCATTATAGTCCTCCAATCCGCACACAGGGGGTTATTAGCACTTGTCCAATAGGGAAACTACATGTAGAGATTCTGGAATATTCTTCCGAAAAATGATTGGATGGAATATCTTCAGCACTTTCTGAGCTTCTCAGAGATTCCTTGAGTTCATCTGTGGGTCGTCCTTACATTTGAGAATAGTTGATCTTGGATAACATGATCAATCAAATTTATTCTTTATCTTATGATAACCGATATTTTTATTTAGGTTATTTAAATTAGGCAAAAATTTGAACGATAGTTGGAGCATTGACTGAATGTAACTATAATAGTGAAAATTTCCTCTTGAATTTATATTTTACGATGATTAACTCATTACTAGATACATAATAATGTACCTGGCTTTGATCCACATTTTAGGTGGGAAGGGCTGATGATAAAACGTGGTTGTTCAGTTGAAGCAAATAGGGCTGGATTTGAAACTTAGGATTCGAGGCTAAAATTTGAACATTTTAACCGCTGCTTGGAAGTCAGCGATGATAACCTTCGTACTGTAGCGGTAAATAAATCCCCAAAATAAATAGCACTAAGTTTTCGACATTGGATGCTGACCATATGTTTTAGTGTACTCACCTAGCTGAAGGCGCTCGGTTAGGCATCCGTACCAGATCACGTGTGGTAACGCCGTGCTCAACATCAACCGCCATCGCTAGCCAGATTAGATCAGAGAATTCCGATATATTGGTCATCGCCAAATATACTCTTCCGATCTCCTCGACTCTGTCTTTTGATTTCTCTGGGCGGGAACGAAATATATTAGAAGGTGTTACTGGTAGAAGCGTTGTCAAACACTGAATACCTGTGACATCATCATTGGTGAAACCGACGTGATCTGGTACACCTAATTGCAACTGTGAGTCTGTTCCTTTTTGGGATTTTTATATATCATTGCCTTATTTTTTTTTTTAACTTTTTTAAACATTGTGATTTTTTTTCGTGTTTTTTCCTGGATATATATATTTTCCCCTTGTTCATTATCGTACTTCATACTTCATCATGACTGAACAGACACCTAAAGTACTCAAGCTTAAGACTTTGTCCCCGCCTTTGTTTCAACTGATGCCTTTCTGGCCCGACAACATCGAAGCCTGGTTTTGCTACGCAGAAGCCGACTTCTCCGAGCACGGTGTGATCGACACACGTGCACAATTCCTCGCAGTAGTCAAGGCACTACCGCGCGAATTCAACAGGTACGTAACACCTAGTATGTTTACTAGTGATGTTTCCGATCCTTACGAAATCTTAAAACGCTCGATTCTTAAACGAGGAGACCTAACCGATCGACAAAGGTTAGATCAACTCTTCAACAATATCGACCTGCAACACGGTTCTGCGACGGACATGTTGCAACGAATGAGAGAGGTAATAGGCCCAAGAACTTTCAACGAAGGTCTATTCAAACAACTCTTCTTGTCAAAACTTCCCCAACAGGTGCAAGCAGTTCTGGTCTCGTTTCAGAACAACGCCTTAGACGAGCTAGTTGCATCTGCCGACCGCATTTTAGAAATTACGAAACCTTCTACTACCGAGGTATTTTCAGTCAAAGTAAAACCTCAAACGACTCAGAATGATATAAACGACTTATGTCACACACTCACGCGTTATCTTAGTCTTCGTACCGATCGTAAGAGATCGCGCACACCACGTAGAAGCATTTCTCGTAAGCGATCTGTCTCTAGACCACGAGAGACAGATAACCCCGACTGGTGCTGGTATCATAACCAGTATGGAAAGTTTTCCAGAAATTGCAGAAAACCCTGCAATTTTCCCAACACGAAACCGACTGATTCGAAAAGCAATTCGGGAAACTTCCAAGCCGGCACGCGTTAACGGCAACCGTAGCCGGCGAACAAAGCCGTCTGTTATTCGTCACAGATGTGACAACGAGAGTTCGCTACCTCGTCGACACTGGCGCAGAAGTTAGCGTTCTCCCAGCAAATCCTAACGACCGGTATCAGGAATCGGCTTTTAACTTACAGGCGGCAAACGGAAAACCGATCGCTACGTATGGCAAAAGGTACGTTTACCTTAACGTGGGTTTACGCAAACCCATCCACTGGATTTTCGTTGTTGCAGATGTTTCTATGCCAATCATTGGTATGGACCTTCTACAACACCACAATCTGATCATCGACACGCGCAAACGGAGGCTAGTAGACGGAAACACTAATTTATCCGTTTGCGTAACTTCCTTTACTGGTTGTAGAGTATCCCCAGTCACAGTTAAACATATGATAGACCCACTCTATCAACCACTACTCGATAAGTACCCTGGGATACAACAAACTCAACCGAAACTACCGTGTGTAACCAGCAATGTTACACATCACATCACGACTACAGGACCACCTGTATTCTCTAAAGCACGACGACTAGCTCCTGAAAAGCTAAGGTTAGCGAAAAACGAATTCGATCACATGATGGACTTAGGAATCATACGACCGTCAAGTAGCCCATATTCATCTCCGTTGCACATGGTCCCTAAAAAGGACAGCAACGATTGGCGTCCAGCTGGTGACTATCGGCGATTGAACGCGAAAACCATTCACGATCGTTACCCGTTGCCACACATTCACGATTTGACAGCTACCTTGAAAGGTACAACTGTTTTTTCGAAAATCGACTTGGTTAAAGCGTATAACCAAATCCCTATGGCTACTGACGACATACCGAAAACAGCTATCATAACTCCTTTCGGACTCTATGAATTTTCGCGAATGCCTTTCGGTCTAAGGAATGCTGCTCAAACATTCCAAAGATTCATAGACGACGTTTTTCGAGGTCTCAACTTCGTACACGCGTATGTTGACGACTGTCTAATCGCAAGTCCGGACAGAGAAACACATCTCAAGCATCTGGATCTTGTTTTCGAACGACTTCAAAAACATGGCATAACTGTAAACGTTCAGAAATGCCAATTCGGAACCGACTCGTTAGACTTCCTAGGACACACTATCGATGCTCAAGGCATTCGACCTCTTAGGACCAAAGTGGCGGCCATTCTGGATTACCCAGAACCGACCACCGTCAAGCAATTACGCACGTTTAACGGCCTGGTAAGTTTCTATAGACGTTTCATACCGAAATGCGCATTACTCATGAAACCTCTTACCGACCAACTTCGTGGAAATGCGAAATCCATTATTTTGGACGACACCGCACGAAAAGCATTCTTCACAGTTAAGGAACTGATTGCTAAAGCAACAATGCTCGCACATCAGGACACCCGAGCACCCATTAGCATCGCAGTAGACGCATCCGACTCAGCAATCGGAGGAGTCTTACAACAATGGGTTAACAACTCCTGGCAACCTTTGGCATTTTTCTCTAGAAGGTTGCTAGACACCGAATCGAGGTACAGCACATTCGGTAGGGAACTCCTAGCTATGTATTGTGCTGTACGGCATTTCCAACACTACATCGAAGGCCGTGAATTCACTCTTTTCACTGACCATAAACCACTCACTTTCTCGTTAAGCTCTCCTTCTGACAAGTACTCTCCCCGTGAGTCTCGACAACTGGACTACATTTCGCAGTTTACTTCAGATATTCAACACATCTCTGGAGCAAACAATGTAGTTGCAGACGCTTTATCTCGCATAACTTCCTTGAACAGTTTCCAAGGAATCGACCTTCTGAAACTCGCCGAGCTTCAAAAAGAAGACACTGATCTTCAGCACGAGTTATCGTCTACAACCCTTAAACTACGCATCAAACAGATGGAAACAGGTAAGGAAACCTTACTGTGTGACACATCTACAGGTAGGGATCGCCCAGTCGTGCCGAAACATTATCGACGCAATGTCTTCAACACATTGCACAAACTTTCGCATCCAGGTGTTCGTGCAACCATCAAGCTTATAGCAGAAAGGTTTTGCTGGCCTGGAATGAATAAAGACGTGAGGGAGTGGGCACGCTCCTGTGTAAGCTGCCAAAAATCTAAGGTTATCAGACACAATAAATGTCCCTTAGGCTCGTTTAAAACTCCCGATGCTCGTTTCGACCATGTTCATCTGGATTTGGTAGGACCTTTACCAGATTCAAATGGATACTCTTATCTCTTAACCTGCGTAGACCGTTTCACTCGATGGCCAGAAGCAGTACCTATCAAGGACATCACTGCTGAAACAGTGGCCCGCACCTTCGTCGAACGATGGGTAGCAAACTTCGGTTGCCCTTCAACCATCACTACAGACCGCGGACGTCAGTTTGAATCCGATCTTTTCCGTCGTCTGACCACACTTTTAGGAATCACTCGATTCCGAACGACCGCCTACCATCCACAAGCAAACGGGTTGGTAGAACGTTTTCACCGACAACTGAAAGCTTCGCTATCAGCTGCAAACGTTTCACAGTGGACCGACGCTCTTCCACTCGTCTTACTAGGTATCCGCAATGCAGTGAAAGCTGACATTGGATACACTGCGTCTCAACTCGTTTATGGTACGACACTTCGACTTCCAGGAGAATTCGTGGATCCTTCATCATCTTCAATGAACATGGATCTAACCTCCTACACGAACAGGCTTACAAACGCAATGCGTTCAGTTAAACCTGCTTCCACTCGACCTCAATCAACTGATGTTTTCGTTCAACCTGACTTACGATATAGTACAAACGTTTTCGTTCGTCGAGACTCGCATCGACGACCATTCGAATCAGCATACGAAGGACCCTTCAAAGTTCTTCAGCGTGAATCTAAGTACTATATAGTCGATAAGAACGGAACCAACGATAGCATCAGTATCGATCGCTTAAAAGCAGCGTATTTAGAAGGAAATCCTATCTACGTGGATTTTCCTTCGGTACAATCGAACGACACGACTCCGACACTTATAATACCTCATCCGACAACCAACACACACGATGATACTTCGACAGTATCCGAAAATAAACTTAAAACGACGCGTTCTGGAAGAAGGGTGAGATTTCCAGAACATTTAAGCGACTATTGCACGTAAGGCACTTCTCGACATTTTATATTATTTTTTAAATAGAAATAAAAATAGTACCAAGGACTCAATTACTTTGCACTAGTCATTCAGAAATACTTTAATGCTAGGTGGCTAGTGGTAGACACGGAACCCATTAAAAAGCTTATCTACAATCGTGAATGAAATGATGTTTCTCGATTGATTCTTAACTCATGTCATCAAGTATTACAGTCTGAAACATCATCACTGAGATATGCAGGTTATATGCTCAAAAAGAATTTAGAGCGACAAGTGTAGACCAAAATATCACTGTTATCAAAGTTCCAATAGGAATTAGAATTGTTGATTTCAGTCATAAAAACATTTCCTAACAGGATTAAATGTGAAATTTAGGTAACATTGATAGGTAATTAGTCTCAGATTTCACTATTGTCCCCACTTATGCTCTCGTTTACTATATTTGGTATTGCTACCAACCAGGAGTGGGTAAGGGTGTTGTCCTACGGACACCGATGCGGGCCTGGAACTGAGGTTCTAGTTGATGCGGTATGCGCTAATGATATCGACAGATATAAGTAGCATATGTCATCAATCGAAAGTGGAATGCCCGGAGACAGACGTTTGAGAGAATTGAAGCGAAGAGAATGAGAATCAAGAATAATTTGTGTGTAAACGAAGGGACGGTGACATGTGAGACAATTAATGGACGTCACCAGAAATCAGTAGTTAAGTGGAGAACGTGGTGGTGTTTTAGGTGAACGGTACTGAGTTGGAGTTCCAGAGTGAACATCAACTGTGGGATGCAGGTACATCGAACTGACGAATCCCAAATGTGACGAAAGGTATGTTTTGTATTCCACTGCTAATCACCATCCATCTCAACTTATAATGCTTGTGATGTAAGGCAATATCGATGCAATCCGTACAGGTTGCACATATGCCGATAAGAGACTGATCAATTGCAATCTTTATTAACCATGGGAAGATACTAGTAAAACAACACCAAGGGGATATTTATAAATGTTTTAATATGGATAAACCAAACTCCATAAACTTCACTTGATGTTGTTTTATTTGTATCTTCCCATTCTTATTGCGAACTAGAATTGATCAATCTCATGTTGGCATATATATGCATCATATGTGATGGCGTTTAAAGCAAATGGTACTGGGTTCAAGTCCCAGAATGAACATCAACTCTGAGATGCAGGTACATCCAGTTGACAAGTCCTAAATAGGATGAAACACGCATCAAACTAGTTTCCACTGTTAGTTACTATTCATCTTTGTTTATCCGTAGGTTTAAAATCGTTTTGTCAGTAATGATAAGAAATTCATTAGATGAAAATGAATAATAAAGCTTTAACTTTAAAAGAAAAAAAACAAACAAAATTAGGATTACTTTTGCTTCTTCTAATAGTTCTTTATTCGTTTGTGGATCAGATGAATCTGATAAGACTTTAATCGCTACTGGAATATGTAGATTGTATCCTCCTGGAATAGTTTCTATATCATTGGTATATTTATTCCAATCAAATGTTCTGGAATTGAATACATTTGATGTTGATGTTATAATGGAATTTGTTATTGTATTATATGCATCATTATGAATAGGATCATGTTTTTGTTGAGTCAATTTCGGACACCATATACCACAATAAACTGTACCAAATGCACCAGAACCAATTAATGGACCACGTATTAATTCTGATTCAGTAATGATACGTAATGTTGCCATGTTTGGTTTTATAGATTCTGAATGAGTAGGCTATTTATTGATTTTTTTTTGTGTGTGAAAGAAAATATACCAAAGGTTTAATAAACTATATACAAAAGCATTCAGTAGTTTATTACTTACTTACTTATTTATGCCTGTTACTCCTCGTGAAGGAGCATAGGCTGCTTACCAGTATTCTCCATCCAACCCTGTCCTGGGCAATCCTTTCCAGGTCATTCCAGTTGTTATTCATCCTTTTCATGTCTGCTTCCATTTCCTTACGTAATGTGTTCTTTCGCCTTCCTCTTTTCTGCTTCCCTTCAGGATTCCAAGTTAGCGCATGCCTCATGGTGCAGTTTGATGATTTCCGTAATGTATGTCCTATCCACTTCCATCGTCTTTTCCTAATTTCCTCTTCAGATGGAAGCTGGTTTGTCCTCTCCCACAGTAGGCTGTTGCTGATGGTATCCGGTAAATGGATGTTGAGTATATTGCGTAGACACCTGTATATAAATATTTGTACTTGTATTAGTTCTCTTCGTTCCAGTTCCATACAGTAGAACAGTCTTGACATTCGTGTTGAAGATTGTGACTGATACTGGTTGATAGTTGTTTTGAGTCCCATATGTTCTTCAATTGTATAAATGCGGCCCTTTCTTTGTCAACCCTCGCCTTTACGTCTGCAACCGATCGTCCTTGTTCATTGATGATGCTTCCCAGGTATGTGAAGGATTCCACGTCTTTCAGATTTTCGCCACCAAGAGTGATTGGATTACTGTTATCGGCGTTGTATTTGAGGATCTTGGTTTTCCCCTTATAAATGTTGGAGCCTACTGATGCAGAGACTGTTGCTACACTGGTTATCTTTGTCTGCATTTGTTCATTTGTATGCGATAGGAGGGCTAGGTCATCTGCGAAGTCCAAATCGTCTAATTGGTTCTGAGGGATTGTCGTAATTTGATAGTTGACTCATGAATTCAACTATTAAATTACTACTATCTTCACAAATCTCCTTTCTGATAAAAACCATCATTTGCTCACTAGTGACTGGCTTCAGGAAGTATTTCCTGGAATACAAGTGAGAAGCCGTGACCAGTGAACTTCAACCAGGTCTGTTGTGAGATAGTCACTAACTGGAGACATTAGTGAACGGTGGCTCAATATCATGGATTGGTTGAATTGTCGGATGCCGGCCGGTTCAGTGGTCTACAGGCTAAGCATTCGCGCGCGAGACTGAAAATCCTGTGTCAGAATCCCGTGAGTGGGACCATGGAAGCTCACTGCTGAGGAGTTTCATACTAGGACGAAATGGACGTTCAGTGTTTTTGGATTTTCCATGATGTTCTTGCTTTAAACGACTGATGAATTCAACTAGTAAATCATTAATCCAAATAAAAATATCACTACATATGATCTGTTACACAGTTCGTAAAACTGAAGTGTAAAATCCACATAAATACATATTCCCAAAGTATATAGTTTTCTTTTGTAGTTGTTAGGTTGAATATTTATACGATAGAGTTCGCATCACTTTTGTTGAGGGATTATGGATGTGTATTACTGAGGAATCTCATACTAGGAAGAAATGACCATCTAGTATTTCCAGGTTTTTAATAGTGATCTAGCATAGATCAACTCATCAATTCAATTATTAAAAATTACTTTAAGAAATGTTAAATCAAGCATAATTCTTCGTTAACTTCAGTCAGGAAATTATTTTAAAGACTATCGGCTTTATCAGAATGGGTTTTGTGGAGATTTTTAGAAATTTCACTGGTTGAAATCATAAGTCAATTGAAGTTAGACCACCATGGAAAACCTGGAAGCACTGGACGGCCGTTTCGTCCTAGTATGGGACTCCTCAGCAGTGCGCATCCACGATCCCGGCTTTATTTTATGATATATGTTAACATTGTAAAACATTATGGAAGGTAAAAAGATTGATCCAGTGATATGTTTCAGTCAGATATGCTCAATATAGAACCTGGCACATATGTGAACAATTCAATTTGCCACACGATATCAGCACAGTGATATGGTACAGTAGTGAAATTAATAACACTATCAGCGGGAATGAAAAATATAAGCGTTAGAAGATATGATTTGATAAGAAAATATGCATTCATGGAATAAAATATACAAAATAATTTTGAAACCTGAGATTAAGGAAAGATAAAGAGTGAATGAATCAATGCGAATTTTAATCACATCAATGATAGTTTTCAAATACTGACAGTTGTTAACACGTAGACCATAACTAGATAGTCTGTACTTATCTACTTTGCTCAATTCGGAAATAGATCAGTACTTTCTGCCCCTAAATGTCCTGGTATGGCCGAGAGTGGGGAGAGTCAGCTCTCCCTCTCCAAATGCTCTCACATGGCCACGCGTATATAACCTCTGTCAGGCAAGTCCTACTCACTGCATTTTCGTGACATTACTATTGTTTACGAAATTGAGAGGACGAAAAGCGAACGTCCGTCAGGCGCTTTAACCGGGTTGGTGGATATGGATAGTTCATCTAGGGGAGTTGGAAAACCCTGATTCCAAACCAATGGTGCACATGGGCTCCAGTATCCTGAAGGCACAAACGGTGTATGAACCGATCGTTGGTCACCGGTTAACATGGGACTGCATCTCCTCACGATGCTCCACTGCCTTGTGGATTAGACCTTTAGGTCGAAGGCTCCGTGTGTGACCCCTTAAGGAAACCGCCTGCTTCGGTTAGGGCACCCGGGCAGTATCACAGCCCTTGCACAAATCAAATGAGATTTGTGTGGCGCATATCTATTTGATGCCTCCTTGTACTAATATCTATGTGTTAAAATAAATAATAAATAAATACTTTGAATAATATTACATCATGGTTTGATCGCCTCTAACTTTCTTCCATAGTGCCCATTACACCAGAAAACATAGCACGTTGAGGTAAACAGTGGTTAAACATACTTATTACATATTTTAACTTATCCAGTCGATCAAGGATTACTACTTCATTAACTGATTCATCATCCCTACCAAATACCACAATGAATTGTTTACTGAGAATATGTTTATTTAAACTTATATAATATAGAAACGATCTTAGTTTGTGACTTATTCTTAATTATACGCTCTTTTATATGGATGAAAGATTTAAGTATTTGTCCTCAATCATTTAGATAATAGTTATACTTAATCAAATACACTTAAGAATTTGATCATATTACAAGTAGATAGGTTTCAGTTACAGTTATTGTTTAAAGGTAAAGTAAACTATCCAACTATTATGAAGTAGACAATGAAGACCCCTCATACTACCAATAGTAACTAAGTGTTCACAAGTAATTGATTCAGACAGGTAATTTTTTTTATCAGAATGGGTTTTGTGGAGATTTTTAGAAATTTCACTGATTGAAATCATGAGTCAATTGAAGCTAGACCACCATGGAAAACCTGGAAGCACTGGACGGCCGTTTCGTTCTAGTAGTGGACTCCTCAGCAGTGCGCATCCGCGATCCTGCATCCTACGAGATTCGAACCCAGGATCTATTTTTCGAATTTAAGTAGAAAACTGTGGCCAGCTTAGTTCAACCCTGTCAGTATGAAGTTATTTATTAATAGTAATAAAAGGTAATTGTTACATAACACGAATTAACTGAATTTAAAAATGTATATCATTAGATGCTGGCTCGGTCTCCTAAAGAATAAATGCTTGTCCTGAAACTTGATAATTCATTGTTTGATCATTGTTGTGGTTGATAATATACTTACCTCTTAGAAGTTTCATACTGTTCAGATCATTTTGATTTTCAACGGTTATCAGATGACTCAGTAAAGGCTATTCATAACATGTATCATTTACAAATGTAGATTTGATAGTTGAATTCATGAGTCCATCTATGTTAGACAACCATTGAAAACCTCAAAGCACTGAACGGCCGTTTCGTCCAAGTATAAAACTCATGAGTAGTGCACATACACGATACAACACACGGGATTCGAAATCAGGAATGTCGGTCTCGCATGCGAACGCTTAACTTCTAGACCACTGAACTGGCCGGGATCTAGTGGTGTTAATGTCTGATTTCAACTAATCCACGAAATCGAGCCACACGTCGACCATTGTCTTTAGTGAGTTACTATCTCACAATCGATATGGTTGAACTCCACTGGTCACGGCTTCTTATGAGAACTCCAG